TGAGTAGGTCAATGTGGTATATTCAAATACCCCAATTGAGCAATGTATGAGAAGTTATTACCTAGTTTTGTGTATGTGCTTTAAAATAACGTTTAAATAGTCATTTTTCATATAGGTGAGACCTATCTTGAGGACGAGCGCAGTCAAGCAAGGTTTTGGGGTTACAACCCTTCCACATACCAGTGAGTGGGCTTTTGGTTTTCAGTATATACTTATATACTTGGTATTTTTCCCAGAAAATATGTTTAAATGAAATTATATTTTGAAATGCCATGCCTATTGATTTATGCTTAGACTCTGAATTAGTATAGTAATTACATATATCTATGTTCGACGATGTGGATGCTCAGGTAAGTACATGTGAGTTGTAGATTGTTATGTGAATTGATGATTATGTGACATGTGTTGAGAGCTCATTCACCTGTACCCCGGTGTTAGTGCTCCCGCCCGTGGTTAGGGCACAGTCCTTCATGTGGTGTTCACCTCCCGCAACATACGCTCACCTTGGATCCAAGTTAGGTGCACATTTTGTTGTACAGACCGCTTTAGGTGGTTCCGACTCGTAGGTGACCCACGATTATTCGTACAGTCTTCACGTGATCATAGCATTAGAGCGTATTCATTTACACCTAGTCATATCATACAGACCACTATAGGTGGTTCCGACTCATGTGCAGGCATACTTGTTGAGCTATAAATTCAGCCGTACAAGCCACTTTAGGTGGATCCGACTAATATGTTATTTCTCATGAGTTTATTTCACCTGAGTCACTTATTCTGTTATTTTGAGATATTTGGCATGGCATACTTATGAATATCGCTTTTCTGAGCATGGTTTTGAGTTTTGTATATAGATTCTATTTTCTGAGAAATTATACAGGTTTTACGGCGAGGGGTTAGAACTTTTGATAAATGAAATGGTTTTGAAAAGCTTTGTTTTTGCCCACTCACACTTTCTGTTTTGCGCCCCTCTAAGTTTTAGGTAGGAGTGCTCGTTGTTGGCTCACAAGGAACTCACGGCAGCTCTGATAGATTATCACTAGTGTAGGACCATATTTGATATTGTATAATTAGTATTCGTCCTACTGGACTGCACTTAGGCTACTTATGCTCTAATCATCACACTTACACTTTACCTTATTTAGTGTTCTAGTTGGTTTGGGTTTTTTTTTATTTATTTGCTTTTCCTTATATTAATATTGCTTCCGCACTGTGCACATGGCTACGTCACTCTTACGTAACGGCCAACATGCCTCGATCTAGGTCGGGGTGTGTCAGGCTGTCACATAGCCTAAGCCATTAAAAAACATTAAATAACATTAAGTAAAACAACCTTAAACAATATTAAACAACATTAAATAACATTAAGTAACATTAACGTAAAATTATTGAGATTCTGAGACGTAAAATTATTGAGATTTCATCTCGAAAAATTATTAACAATCCATAACGTAAAATTATTGAGGTAGTTTAATTTAAGTAACCATATTAATTCAATTAAAATAATCAATTATGTTTGGCCCTATGACCCTTTGGCCCCCTTGATTGGAGATTATTTTTTGTCACAGGGCTATGTTGGCCTATGGTCCTCTGGCCCCTTGGTTGAAGATGGTAAGAAAAATGGTATGATATTGTTCATTAAAATATTAATTTCTTGGAAGACTATAGGGTCAAAGAGAGCTCTTTAGCCCTCATTCGGTTGGAGATGGCCTTAGATGAAGGAGGAAAAGGGATGCTAGTAAAGTAAGAAGAGACCCTTGAACTATAAACACCTCACTTTCAAAATTTTGAATTTATTAGTGCAAAAGTGTAACGGTATGAGTGGGTGGTGTTGACTGTTGAAACTCTTGAAAAACAGATAACGCTAGGGAGATCGAATTTTTAAACCAAATTTGCATACCAAATGATATGTCACCAATAGGAAATAAGCATGTTAATCGATACTTAAAATAATAATCCAATCCTAAACAACAACATTAGTTGGTTTACATAATTTGCTTTAAAAATTTGATCTCCCTATCATTAGCCTTAAAAAGGGTGTGCTATCCAACACCATTTTTTACTTCTCACACACCTTTTGTTAATTTCTGTTATTTGATCTTCTTCAATCCATCCGATCCAAAGACAAAAAATTAAAAAGAAGTGAAATGTAAAAGGGGCGTGTGGATAACAAACCCCTAAAAAAAGGGTTAGTTAAGTTAGGATTTAGTTGTTGTAAACAGATCAAGGATGCGAGATTCATCATTAATTGTACACGTTTTCACATTCAAGTTGTGTACATAGCCGGATTGATATAATTGTGTTTTAGTGATCAATTTAATTAGTCCCAACTGATGTTATATACCCAAATTATTAGTGTTTCTCCGCTGCTAATCTTAGATTTATTTTATGTATGTTAAATGCATGTGATGACACAGTATTATATGATAAAGATTGTATCATATAAAAGATCATGACATGAAGATAAATGAATTCCTTGAATTTTCAAAATTTGGCCTTGAGTTTCATTTTTTGGTTTTTAATTTTCATTTTTTTTAAACCGAAAGCTGAAAATATTTACTAAACAAGATATTAGTTTTCACTTAAAAAAAAAACAAAAAACTGAAAACGAAATGGTTATCAAACGGTCCCTAAGTTTTTAGTCTTTAATTTTTAAAAATGTTCTTTAAATTGTACCACCGTTTGAAAAGATGATCAAACATAAGCCAACAAAGCCTCCTAATACACAATCTTACATTGTACTTTACATTTTATCAAATCGAACTGTCTTATTAAAAAATAAAAATAAAATGGGTTTTAAATGTACCTTAAATTATAGCCACTTGAAATACATGATCTTCAATTGTAAATTGTATCTTAACGATCCAAATCATCTTATAAAAGGTTTGTTTATTTCCACAAACACACACGTTCCTTCAGTGATGAGGAAAGGTTTGTTTATTTTGGCTTTTTACCCCCTAATTCCTTATTTTGATAGGACTCCAGACTCCTAATTATGCCGGGACTCGATATCGACAGTATAAAACGTAGCTGCCCCCATCCTGCATATTCAGACAACATAACACTCTAAAGCTGTCAACTTCCGCACACTCGCTACTCACTCACATTCAACATCATGATTCTGGTAGCACTATTCGCGGTGATTTTCTTCGAGATGGTTTTCATACTCTCCATCTTGCTCGAGACTCCCTTGAGGAAGATGGCGACATCGTGGCTTGATCAGGTAAAGCGCTGCGGTCTTTGGTCTGCTGCGGTTAAGTTCCTAGCCAATACAATCTTATTCACAAAGATCCAGAAGCGCACGACGGACAATCTCATCCTCGAAGCCACTCTCATTGCGTTCGCCCTATTTCTAGCTCTTGTGATCGACCAACTGCATCGTCGTCTCAGTTCTCTTGATGGAAGTATCGTTTGCAGTTCGAAAAGGATCAAAGAGTTGGAAGAAGTGATTGCTGGTTTAAATCTGAGGCTGAGGCACATGAGAAATCAGAGCATTATAAGTGCTGAGAAAATTATGAACCAACCTCCTCAACCTTTATGTGACCAAAAGGTTGAAGGCCTTGAGCCAAATAATAAGAAATCAGTGCATCAGTTGTTTACTGGAAGTTTGAACAAATTTAATGTTGCAGTCTACATTGAACGACTGATCATGTCCATTTAGGTAGCTAGAAGAAGTACTGACGCGATTAACTGTACAAGTTTTGAGGGGGTTTTTTTTTTTTTTTTTTTTTTTTCAATTGATGGATAAACATGTGGTTAGTGAAATTGACTTTTTTTTTTCAATACTTATAACTGCACTTTTTTCTCGATGCATGTCATGTTCTTATGTTGATTTATGTTTGCATAATTATTTAAATTTTTATTAAGTCGAGCTAAACTTGAAGTCCGAGCTCATTCAAAAAAAGAGCCGAGTCGAACCAACCACTTATGAGTCCGAGTTCAATCCACAATGAACCGAGCTGAGCTTAACATCCCTAGTTTCTCACCAAACGTCTAAAAAAAAAGGTCGTACCCAGTGCACAAGGCTCCCGCTTTACGCAGGGTCTGGGAGAGGTGAATGTCGGCTAGCCTTACCCCCATTTTATGGAGAGGCTGCTCCCAAGTCTCGAACCCGAGATCTACCGCTCATGGGCGAAGGCAACTTAGCAAAGCGCCATCTCACCAACGATCTATCGCGTTTGATGTGTGGTTCGAACTTGGAAGAGGGACAGCCCTTTTGCTTGCTTTGTTTGGCTTGCAACCCCATTTGGAATCCCTTTCCCCGGAGCTTCTCAAATGGAAGTCTACTCCTCCAGGCCGTCTCAAAATGAATATCGGCGGAGCTTGGAGCAAGGAGAATACTGTTGGAGGGGTGGTATCATTATCCGGGATTCTACCGGAAAGTTTGTTGCTGCAACGGCGCTGAAGCCCTGGCTTTCAAAGAAGATCTTTTGCTGGCTTCGACAAGGGACTTTCACAAATAGTTCAGTTGAGAGTGACTCACTTCAGATCATCTCAGGCTTCGCAGCGCTAAAGGGCACCTCTGTCGATGTCTATCCTATCGGGCACATTGTGGAGGATTTCAAGGCATTGCTGTCTGTGATCACTGAAGCTTCTATTGCAACACGTCCGTCGCTAAGCTAATGGAGCAGCGCATCGTCTAGCCCGGTTTTCCCTAAACACTCTCTTATCTGATGCTCCTTTAGAAGCAGCTTAACTTGTAATGTTGTATCTTGATCCCCTCGTGTACTGTTCTTCTAGGTAAAGAAATGCTCTCCTTACTATTAAAAAAATAAAAAATTGATTCCCACCAGCCACCATCGATCAATCAAAAAATGAAAAAATTTCACTTTCAACCATCTCTCTGACTCTTAGATAGACTTACATAAAACGAACCCAACAAGGTAATGACGTCTCAATCACATCTCGTCACGTATCTTAATTACATGCAATATAATTGACTTGAAACAATATCATATTGTAATCTCTATTTCATAAAAGCTTACATGCACATCATCACAATGGTGCTTCGATCCAATGACAGTATGCCTCGCACGCTCAGTCAAATTAGTTTTTAAATCCGTTGTTATTTATCATGTAGCGCGGTCGGGATGACCAGGGCGGTTTCTCTGCAGAACTAAAAAATATATATAAATCTCCGCAGGCCGGCAGCTGAAAAACCAAAACAATTTGCCAACACCACCGCCAGTAGTCAGTCCACTGTATCAGTATACACCCCAAGCCATCATCCATGGCCTCGATTTTCGTTCCACAACCTCCGCTCCTCCCTCTCTCCACGCCTTCGGCTTCTGCTCCGGCCGATCGGACGCCGTGCTTGCCGCTGGTAACCCGTCCCGGTCAGAGGCTCTTCCTGGTATCCGTCGCCACTTTGGGGGTTCGGAGGTCCTTCAATGTCGCCGCCTCCGCCACCTTCATGCCTAATTCCGTACCGGTATCTTCTTCGTTCCCGTTATGCAATTCGAATTTTCATCTGATTAATTTGTTCAGAATTTGTAATATATTAGGGTGATTGATTCCTTTGTAGTTATGAACAAAAGGATGAAGTTTTTGGAAATGTGAATGCTGTCAAGCTTGCGTACTTGTTCATCTAATTAATTTGATCAGAATTTGTTTACTGCATTGGGATGTCTGATTAGAACTGGATAATTTGTGATCGGAATTGCCGCTCTTTTGCTTGATATTGTTGTGCAGGAGAAAAATGGAGTTCTTACTGTTGGCGATTTTATGACGAGAAGAGAGGATTTGCACGTGGTGAAGCCTACAACGACTGTCGATGAAGGTATTTGTTGTATTTGTATGAGATGACGGTTCGTCGCGTGTAATACTTGTTTTTATAGGTTTTTCATTTTTTCTGATGGATCAGCTTTGTGCCTACAGCTATAGAGCTTCTTGTGGATAACAGAATCACTGGTTTTCCGGTGATCGACGATGACTGGACACTGGTAGGTGCTCACTTATATATCATTGAGCTTCTTTGTCAGATTTATAAATGATTGTCTGATTAAACTAACTTCAAGTTTCCATGTATTTATTTAAATTCCAGAACCAGACTTACCAATGATTTCCAATTTACGACGTTTGAAATTCACGTGGCCAAATCTTGTCTTACTTAATGTACATTCTGTCATTTCTGTTTCTTGATTTCCGTTTATTTGGTTGAGCAAAACAAGCATTACCCAATTGATCTGATGTGAGCTTAGTGTAGTGACATTGTGCAACTGATGTATAATGGTACTCCGTTGATGCAGGTCGGTCTTGTCTCGGATTATGACTTGTTAGCACTGGACACTATTTCAGGTAACTATATATGTTCGTTGATCTTCATTTTTGTTTCTTTATGGAATTATGCTGTGTAATTCATTTTTTTTCTGAAAGATTTCACGGCCTTCTTTTCTCTCAATTTCACCTTCATTTGATTCATTTTCGTACTTGATAGTGGTAGGCCACCCTTGAAAAAGGGTAATCTCAATCTTGTGAACTAAGTTTGTTTGACAAATTTATTTGCTTAGCAGAGAAGTTTTGTTTTGGCTGGTACGCATGTAAGTATAGATTAGCTTTTTGAGGAAATTGAAGTATACGTTATTTCTTTGTTTTTCAACATTGAAGCTAATTAAAACATGATGAGATTTTCTTACATAAAAGGGAGCAAAAGCAGAGATGAGGATGTTGAGGGGGATGAGTGGTATAAAGATACTGAGTGTAGAATAGAAAATGAAAATTCATGTGACGAGTCCCAACAAGTATGCGATTAGGATCCATGTAACCAAACTCAAAAGGTTGGGATTACGGCTAAGTTTAATTTACAGAAATGTAAATGCGAATCATGCTGTACTGGCTTTGGCAAGTAAAGAATTAATTTTAACTTTTGTTGAGGAAAAAAGGGGTTTTAAAAGGGGTGAATCAATATTGTGTGAATAAAAAATGGAATGTTGGGCATGAATCTTGTATTAGTACAAATCTCTTTGAAGAGGGTCAAATTGTTAAATTTACCTGTATAATTTGTATATCAAATTTACTCGAGATGCGGAGGTTTGTCTAATTTCTTTTACAACCTATTTGGAGCTTCATCAGAATAAGGAATTCTCTGCTTCAGTTCAGCTTCATCTGAGTTCGATATTAAGCATTACTATCTGGAACCGCCCTGCCCTTAGAATTCAATTTATTTGGTAGGGAAAGATTTGGATGTTCATACAGATACCAGTCCAGCCAAATTAGATTTGATTTGTCAAGGATTCAATTTAATTTTCTCTCACACTTTCTCTCATTCCAAAAGTAGCCCTGCATTCCCTCTTGTTTCTGCACTTTTTTCTTCATTCTCCACAGAGCTCTCTAGGTTCTTCAATAATCTATTGGTTTTCATTTTTCTCATTGAAATCGAATGAATTTTACTTGCATTATTGCGTCTACATGATGTCAAAGACGTAAGAATATATGGCTAGTTATGTTGGGGCGTTGTTTGATGAAAAAATTGAACAAAATTATTTGTTTTTGCTTAATATCTGTTGGTGTTTGGAAATTTAAATTAAAAGTTCCGGTCTGTGATACTGTTGTGTGCTACAACAGCTCTAGTGGGCAACTGTTATCTAGTTCAAGAGGTGTAATATTGGGACCATATTCATTTGTTTCCTCTGTTTTAAACAATAGTAAAATCAACTCAATTATTCAATTTAGTTTCAAACAGATGACATGAAGTGAAAATCAATTATACTCAAGTTTATTTGATTGACCTCAATTCAGTTGTAGATAGAATTGCTCACAAACGATGTCTTAGGTTGTGGATGAACTTCTTCTATGTCCAATGATCGAGTTGGTCATCTCTTACATAGTTGATAATACAAATCATTCGAATATTTCACCTGATAGGTAGTGGAAGAACTGACAACAGCATGTTTCCAGAAGTTGACAGCACTTGGAAAGTATGTGAGAATTTATATATCTTTTCCCGTTCTCAATATTTGTCTTATAATTTTATATGAATTTTAGTAGAATTAACATATGATCTTGGTAATGGGAATGAATTTGAGAGGAGGGGTTTAATAGTTTCTCAAACTTGTATATCCCCATAGTGGCAATTGATATATCAAAAGGCATGGTGCTTTTTGCTCTAGAATTTCAAATTGGCGCATTGTGAAGCATATTTGAAGTCTAACCAGTAGTTTTCCTTTTTCTGCAACAATAATTTGTCTTACAAAAATGCTTATATAACTGCGTTGTGGTTGCAGACTTTTAACGAGGTACAGAAATTGCTCAGTAAAACCAATGGTCAGGTGGTGGGTGATGTTATGACACCAGCCCCAGTTGTCGTTAGTGAAACCACTAATCTTGAGGGTGTTGCTAGGTATGCTTTTCCTGCTCCACTTTTTCGCATTATCGGTCTCTACCCGGAAACAATTAACTTCTGCTATATGATGGCAGAATGTTGCTCGAGACAAAATATCGAAGACTTCCAGTTGTAAATGAAAGCGGCAAGCTGGTAAGAGATGCATTCTTTTTCTCCGTCTTCGTAATGATCTTTCAACAGTATCTCTGATATGCCATTGTTTGTTATCCGAAGATTGGAATTATTACAAGAGGAAACATCATAAGAGCTGCCCTTCAAATGAAACATGCTAGTGAATCGAAAACATAGCACGCAGACACATTCGGATCAATATCATTTCCAGATGTTTATGGTGGAATCACAGAAGACGTCGGAGGAATTGGTCTGCTTTTTAGGTTCAATTTCGACAAAGGATTTGTATAAATCAGCAATGAAATTGAAATAATAATAAATAACACGGGATCAGAAAGAAAATAACGATGCGTACGTATTAGTATAGGAGGAATGTGCTGAAGTTGTTAAGATTTCCTAGCCGTTAGGGTTAGGTTTCCTAGTTTGTAGGATTGTTTTCAGTAGTTGTTAATAATCCCTATTCTTTAGGGACAAGTTGTTTAGTTTGCTTCTGATTTTAGTCATGTACCACGTTATTTGGTTTTTTAAAACGTGGGCTGCTTATTTCTAGCTTTTAGCTTTTCTTGTAAGGCTATTTAACACCGTTGTTGCTCTTTCAATTGAATAATAGATATTCTCCCAACTATTGAGTGCACAAACACACATTTATTTACAAGTTTTCGTGAGTGTTCATCCTCTGGTTCCAACATTTGGTATCAGAGCCCCATCACGGGGCTTGATCGAAGCTAGTTTCATCGTTCAACAACACCATGACCACTGAAAGTAGCTTTGTGCAACCTGCAATTCCGTGGTTTGATAGAAACTATGATCACCAGAGCATGCTCATGGAGAATTTCTTGCACTCCAAAGAATATTGGAGCTTGGTGGAAACTGGGATTCCTATAGTAGCAGACGAGGAGGATCTCACTGATGCACAGAAGAAAACCATTGATGATCAAGGGCTGAAAGATTTGAAGGCTAAGAACTATTTGTTCCAGGTTATTGATTGATCAATTCTGGAGATGATACTGAAGAAAGATATTGCGAAGGACATCTGGGATTCCTTGAGGGAGAAGTACCAAGGTACAACACGACTCAAGTGTGCATAACTACAAGCTCTTCGAAAGAGTTTGAAGTTCTACACATGAAGGAAGGGGAATCAGTGAATGAGTACTTCATATGGACTCTCACCATAGCCAACAAGAAGATGATTCATGGGGAAAAGATGGGAGATGTGGTGGTCATAAAAAAGATTCTGAGATCAAGGACTCCTAAATATGACTATGTGGTGTTTTCTATTCAAGAGTCTAATGATCTTGACATCTTGTCCATCGATGAACTCCAAAGTAGCTTGTTAGTGCACGAGCAGAGAATGGGCAGGCACACGGTGGATGAACAAGCTTTGAAGGTGACTCATGAAATCCAGCTAGAGCTGGGAGAGGTGGACGCAACGATTTTAAAGAAAGAGGACGAAGGAGGGGTAGGAATATACCTGACAAGTTTACCCTTGAATGTTACAATTGCCATGAACTTGGGAATTTCCAATGGGAATGCCCTAAGAAAGGGAAGGATTCAAAAGGTTTCTACACAGAGACAAGTGAAGAAATGATGTTAATAGCTTATATGGATATCGAGGAAGCTGACAGAGAGGAATTATAGTTCATGGATTCGGGATGTAGCAACTATATGTGTGGCAAGAAGAAGATATTCACAGACCTTGATGAAACCTTCAGGAAATCTGTGAAGTTAGGAACAATTCAAGCTTGGTTGTGCTAAGGAAGAGAAATGTTCGTATGGAAGTCAATGGGATCATGCAGGTCATCATCGGGGTATTTTATGTGCCAGATTTAAAGAACAACTTACTTAGCATTAGGCAGCTGCAAGAGAAAGGTCTTGCTGTTTTTATAAAAGGTGGCAAGTGCAAGATTTATCATCCTTAGAGATGATTGATCTGGGAAACATCAATGGCAGCAAATAGAATGTTCATCTTGCTTGCTCGCACATAACCACAAGAACAGAAGTGTTTCAACACTATTGCCGAAGATTAACCCCAAATGTGGCATCGTAGATATGGACATTTGAGTTGGAGCGGCCTCAAAATTCTTCAACAAAAAAAATATGGTGAAGGGCTTACCAAAGTTCAAGGCTCACATGAAGGTTTGTGAAGAGTGTTTGGTAGTGAAGGAGCAGAGAGATCTATTCTCGAATGAGAGTACATGGAGGGCATCTCAGACTCTTCAACTTGTGCATGCTGACATATGTGGGCTCATTAATCCAATCTTCAACAGTAACAAAAAGTATCTCATTACCTTTATTGATGATTACAGTAGAAAGACATGGGTGTATTTCTTGGTTACCAAATCAGAAGCTTTTAGTATTTTCAAAAGCTTCAAGGCTAGGGTTGAAAAAGAAACAGGTTTAAGCATAAAGAGTCTGCATACAAATCATGGAGGTGAATTCACATCACTCGAGTTCATAAATTTTTGCAACATGCATAGAATTCAAAGGCAGTTGACCATTGCCTATACTTCCCAATAGAATGGCGTCACGGAGAGAAAAAATCGAACCATTATGAATATGGTTCGAAGCATGTTTTATGAGAAAAAAAATTCCAAGAGCTTTCTGGCCAGAAGCAGTCAATTGGACCATCCATGTACTCAACAGAAGTCCAACGCTAGCAATGAGAAACATGACATTAGAAGAAGCTTGGAGTGGTTCCAAACCATCAGTAGAACACTTCAGGGGTTTTGGGTGTCTATCATACGTACATGTTCCTGACAATAAGAGGATTGAACTTGATGACAAGAGTATGAAATGCATCATACTTGGAGCCAGCGAAAAATCCAAGGCTTATCGACTATTTGATCAAGTTTCTAATAAAATAGTGATAAGTCGAGATGTGATTTTTGAAGAAGATAAAGCTTGAGACTGGAGGGACAATCACAGAGAAGCAATCATGGCTGATCTTGATTGCGAAAATGATGAAGAAGAAGGTCCAAGAGATGATAACAACGTAAAGGAATCCGAGACTGATAAAGCAGTACTAGAAAGTGGTTTATTTGATCAAGATGACCAACCAAAAGACACTACCATTGAAGGACGAGTCAGAAGACAACTAGCTTGGATAAGAGACTATGTAAGCGGAAAGGGTCTCTCTGAGGAAGAAGACATGGCTCACTTAGCTTTGTTTGCTAATATTGACCACATCTCTTATGAGGAACCTATGAAAAGTGACAAGTGGAAGAAGGCTATGCAGTCAGAAATTGAGGCGATAGAAAGAAATAATACGTAGGAGTTGATAAAGATGCCATCAGGAGGAAAAGTGATTGGGGGTAAAATGGATCTACAAAACAAAGCTTAACGAGAAAGGTGAAGTGGACAAATACAAGGCTTGCTTGGTTGCAAAAGGGTATAGTCAACAATATGGAGTGGATTATGCCAAAGTGTTTGCACATGTAGCTCGCTTGGATACAGTTCGTGTCATATTATCACTTGTAGCTCAGAATAATTAGACGGTTTACTAAATGGATGTCAAGTTGGTGTTCCTCCATAGAGATTTGGATGAAGAAGTGCTTGTTGCACAACCTCCTGGTTATGAACAAAAAGGGCAGGAACACAAGGTATATAAGCTTAAAAAGGATTTATACGGTCTTAAACAAGCTCCTCGAGCTTGGTACAGTCGCATTGAGACCTATTTCATGAAGGAAGGTTTCAAGAAGTGCCCACATAAACACACCTTGTTTGTCAAAAGAATGAATGGAGGTAAAATGTTAATTGTTTGCCTTTATGTTGATGATCTCATATTTACTGGGAATGACGAGTCTATGTTTAAAGAGTTTAAGCATTCTATGATGATTGAGTTTGATATGACTGATCTTTGAAGAATGAGCTATTTTCTTGGCTTAGAAGTGCTGCAAAGGCTAGAAGGAATCTATGTTAGCCAAAGCAAATATGCTCAAAAAGTGTTGGAGAGCTTTAACATGGACCAGTGTAATGCAATTCATAATCCTATTGTTCATGGCTTCAAAATGATGAAAGATGAAAGAGGCATAAAAGTTGATAGCACTGTGTACAAACAAATTGTGGGAAGTCTCATGTACATGACTGCCACACGACCTGATATAATGTATGTTATCAGTTTAATTAGCATGTTTATGGAACGACCTACTGAGCTGCATCTTAAAGCAGCGAAAGGAGTGTTGAGGTACTTGAAGGGCACGGTGAGTACACATACAGTGATTATGCTGGAGATTAGGATGATAGGAAGAGTACTTCAGGGTATGTTTTTATGTTGAGTTCAGGGGCAGTCTCATAGTCTTCGAAGAAACAACCCGTGGTTACTTTATCTACCGCTGAGCTGAGTTTATAGCTGTAGCATCGAGTGCGTGTCAAGCAGTTTGGTTAAGAAGGATTTAACAGCAGCTCAGTCATGAACAATGCAAATCCACAAGGGTTTATTGCGGTAATAGTTTTACTATTAAGCTTTCAAAGAATCCAGTGATGCATGGTCACAGCAAACACATAGATGTTCGTTTCCATTTTCTTCGAGAGCTCACCAAGAATGAAGTTGTGGAACTGGTTCAATGTTCTACACAGGAGCAGATAGCGGATATCATTACCAAGCCATTGAAGCTGGATGTGTTTCTGAAACTGCGGGAGTTAATGGGTGTTTGCTAACTCATGGATGTAAATTGATTGCTGATGGCATTTAGTTTAAGGGAGGATGTTGAAGTTGTTAAGATTTCCTAGCCGTTAGGGTTAGGTCTCCTAGTTTGGAGGATTGTTTTTAGTAGTTGTTAATAATCCCTATTCTTTAGGGACAAGTTGTTTAGTTTGCTTCTTATTTTAGTCGTGTACCACGTTATTAGGTTTGTTAAAATGTGGGCTGCTTATTTCTAGCTTTCAGTTTTTTTTCAAGGTTATTTAATGCCATTGTTGCTCTTTCAATTGAATAACAGATATTCTTCCAACTATTGAGTGCACAAACAAACATTTATTTCCAAGTTTTCTTGAGTGTTCATCATCGGGTTCCAACAGAATGCCTACATCATTTTACCCACATGCGAGTGGGTAATTTCCAATGTAGATGCATGTGGCCCCACAGTCCACATGTATACCAGCTAGAAATATACTTCACGCACGTGAGTGCAACTAACGTTATTGAAAAATTAGTTCAGTAGCTATCGCGTCTCCTCGCGGATTTACGAGTGTGGTTTGCCATCTCATCCATGACCGGTGTTTGTTGAGCTGAATCGGGCATCGGATTGATTCATGATGTACCGGTTGTAGAACAACGTATTTGAAATGTGGGTTGTTGACTTTATTCGGCTTCAATTATTGTGCAATTTAAATTTATGTCTTTGAAAAAACAGGAAATGTATCGGAGTCAAACTGATTGTCACACTGAAATTAAAGATTTTATTTTCCTTTGATCACACGATGGAAATAAACATGTGGAACTGCAGTCAATCAAATCTTTGAGGGGAAAGAGGTGAATAGGACACCTATAGACATCTACATCATTGAGATTTGAGAAAGTTTATAATAATTAATTACTCAAATTAGCAAATAGTAAACACCGAATTCTCCGCTAATCGTGGATTAATCGTTGGTCTTTACTCCCCAGAACATGGATTGGATCACAGCTCATGCATCGTTCAATGTTCATCGGCCTATAAAACAGTGTTCGTAGCTAATCTCTAATCTCTATGCAAAATTACTACGCAAAATTGGAACCAACAAAGCAGGGACGTCCAGCAGCAACGCGTGTACACGATCATACCTATGGTCTATGGTCCTCTTCAACTTACGCACGTGCATCATTACCGTGCGCGTTCGTGTATGCAATTGGTCCTGACACTCTTCTTTCTAATTCTAACACTCACACGATCCTAACACTCTCTTGTCGGAGAGGGATCATATAGCCATTGCAACAGTGCCATTTGACCACAAATAGAATCTAAGACTGAGAGAGAGAGTGGCCTAGGGGGAGGGGAGGGGGGAGGGGGGACAAAACCGATAAAGGGCACAGTGCATCCCATTTGCCCTCTTGCTCCTCCGTCATCCAAAACCCCACCAGCACCATCACCACCATATCTAATCCCCACAACCACACTTAACCAGCAACAGTGCAGAGAACCAGATATACCTAACTCTTCCAAATCCCAATTGCTTTCTTGTACTAGTACAACTAGTAGTTGTAACTTCAGTGGTTAGCCTGGTCCCTGTTGTGTCCCCCAACTGTAGGACCCTTTCTAGTTTTTGCTCCCTCCTTCACAGCTAACAAGTAAAAACATTCCCTCCTCTTTCTTTTTCATTTTTTTCCACTTAAATCCACCCTTTCTTTTCCATTTTTTGCTCTATTCCTTCAATTCTCCCATCTCCTACCTCACCACCAAACTACCACTTATAGAGGAGCAAAGTTTTAATACAAAGCAATATACAGGGAGGGAGGGAATCGAACACAAAAACTCGGTGCTGCTCTTAACCATCTGAACTACAAGACTCAACATTTCCTTATACGAGCAAATGTTAATTACCCAAAATTAAAAGGAATAAATACAGAAAAAAGGGGGAAATTAAGCTAATTAGTAGCATAATTTACATCTTACATCACGTTTTTATATATGGCCAAAATTTCTCCATCCAAAGCAAAAATTTTCTGAAAAAAAAAGGGTAAAAAAAAGAGATACAGTAGGCGAAATTCTAATTTCCAGGACCAGGACGAAAGCTTCATCATTGCTTCAGCAGTCACATACCTCCCCTACGCACGTTAGCAAAGGCCACCCCTCAATTTTTAAAACCGCAAGAGATTAAGACAACCTCTCTCTAATTCCACTCACCTTCCGAATTCTCCGGGTCGGGCATCTTGTTCAGGTCGACCCGATCCACGCATCCGGCGAAGCAGGGTTTAATCTCATCGCCGTCTCCGTTCCCTGCCGCCGAACCGCGGTGGTGTCGCAGAGCCGTTTCGACCGCGTCTACCCGGGCGCCGACCTCGGTGGCCCGCTTGCGTATCAAAGCTGCCGACATGTCACCGCACCCGCAGCCACCTTCGACCGGCAAAGCCTCTGGAAAATTGAGCCGCGCGGAGGGACCCCGCAAGTAAAAAACCGCCGTGTCGTACGCCCGAGCGGCGGCGACAGGAGTGGAGTAGGAACCAAGCCAGATTCTAGAGCGCTTGTTGGGTTCTCGAATCTCGGCCACCCACTTGCCCCACTTTCTCATCCGTATCCCCTTGTACGGCTTGTCGTTGTCCACCCCAGCTCTCTTCCTATTCGCAGCCTCTCCGCCGCCGCCCTCCATCTTCAATTGTTCTCCTTCAATTGTTGATGTCGGTCTGAGAGTGCGAAAGGGGTGCTCTGCTTTTTGGAAGACAGAGAGAGAGAGACAGAGAGAGAGACAGAGAGAGAAAGGTGGGAGGGGGTTTTTTGCATGCTACTTGGCCACCAAGGTTGTATCTGGGTAGGCTTCCACGTCTCTGGAACCCAACAAACTAAAACATTTTATTCCCCGAAATAAATCCAAATTCACCGACACAACAAATCCCACCGATTTTCTTTTTCTTTTTCTCTTTTTTTGGGTTTTTTTATTTTTTTGGGAGGTCTTGCCTAATTTTTTTTTTTAACAAACAATATTATTTACATTAAGGAGGATGAGATGGACTTAACCTCACAATGGGCTAGTAATAATGTGATTCAAACTCGCATTTGACGATAATCGAACCTAAAACCTTTCACTTATAAGCGAAAAGAAATACCACCAGATTGTAGTACTAAATGACGTCTTGCCTAATTAAGAAATGGGGTCAGTCAGACTCAGAGGACCCTGTCCTAAAAATACAGGGCACTTTTTTTAGAGTGGACAGATGCTTTATTTATTTTTCATCTTTGCATATTTTTCAAAAAAATTGGTTGGGTTTTATACAATTTAGAAGTATAAATAAATAAATAAATAAAAATATGTAGTGGGTGGTGGAGGTAGAGGAGGTAGAGGAGGTAGTGAAGTGATGGGAGGTGTCTGTTTGTGTGGACAGCTCAAGTGGAATTCAAAGGTTGTGAAGAAAATAATAACAATTCTATTTTCTTGTTTAATATAGTGAGGAAAGAGTGGTTTATTCTTTTGTTATGATTAGACTATAATTTATTATATACCAATGTTGAAAATTATACTTTAATTAGTTCACGAACTTAAAAATATATTGCATCATTAATCATTCAACTTAACGATGTGTTACATCATTGGTTATTTTACTAACCTCGTTTTTTTTTATTAAATCTAGGGGTATATTAGAAACTTCAACTTAAAACAAAATGAAATTTTCTAGAAATACAAAATGAAAATAGTTGGACTTGGCAACTTGTAAATATTAGGCAATACGATTTCAAAGTTGGTAGGAAATCGAAATGTGGCTAGACTTAGGGCTGGTTTGACATTGCTGAAATTATTTTAAAAGTAGCTTTTTAAAAAAGTTGGGGCTAAAATTGTGTTTAGTAAATGAAAAAAGAAGTGATTTTTGTCAAAATCATAGGAACAACAGAAAGTATATGCAATTCTACCCCTACTTTTCAAAACAACGTCTTTTTTTTTTCACAGTACAGCAATCCCAAACTAGCCCTTAAACAACTAACACATCACATATTAAACTGCGAAAAAAAAAGTTCCTATGTATTCAATTTTCTTACACAAAAAAGATCTTTTTTTAAGTTTTTGCCTTTCTCCTTTTTCAATTTATTTTCAGTGATGTGAGATGAAATTCTTAATATACCCCTAAATTTAATGAAAAAACAGACTCAGATAGTGAAAATGATCAATGGTACAACACATATTTGTATTTGAGGACTAAAGAAACTAATATGAGAGTTCATGGACTAAAATTAAACTATGAGTAAAGTTTATGGGTCATTGCCACAATTAAACCTACAACTCTGTTTGATATTAGAAGTTTGTAAACGATGATTTTGATAATGTTAATTTTAAGATGAATCACTCTGATTAAGTTGTATGTTATGAACATCTGTTACCATTTCATTAAAGAAAACCAGTGCTTTCTGCTTGAAAACACGTTGAACTTAATGTGAAATTAACTAATTAAAAAAAAAAAGAGTGAAATAAGAGGAACTACTACATCAAAATGCAATAATGCATGAGGTACTCTTTATTTATTTTATAGGGGTTGGGTGACGTGACATGAGAGCTCCGACCCAAAAAACATATCCAACCAAACACTATAAAAATAAAATATTTTTGTTTTGGAAGAGTGTTTTGGCAAATGTAAAAAGCACTCCAAACCCAACCTAATTAAGTTGTTGCTTTTGTGGGTTTTATTATTGGACTTGGATTGTCTGCCCTCCCATTTCGGTGCCCTTTCCGTGCCCTCCTGTTTTGTGTGGTCACGGTTAAGCCACGTTAATATTTTATATTATTTTTTTATAAAAATAATAAAACAAAAAGAAATAGTAATATAAAATGTTGACGTGGCTTAACCGTGACCACAAAAACAGGAGGGCACGGGGAGGGCACCACAATGGGAGGGCAGACAATCCAAGTCCTTTATTATTTCGTTGCTTCTTATTTAATTTTCTATACCGTTAGGGATTGACTTTTCCCACCAAGCAAACGGCATACCTTCCCTTATTTTTGTTTGAAGAATTTTTTTTAATGTGCCTGAAACACAATCGGTACGCCAAATATTTTAATGCAATTGATTAAAAACTTAAAAAAATATCATTCAACTAATTGCTTAATCTAGCGTACGTTTTCAGCGCTCTAAAAAAATCTCTCCTTTGGTTATTGGCAGCAAGGGACAATATTGACATTCTGCAATACCAGTGGCCCCATAAGTAAGGTTGAAAATACCTGCTGATGATATTATTGGGCCGGCCTTATTATTTTATCCACAAAAATGGTTATTATCTTTTGTTTTTCACTTCCATTTTTTGTAGTTGGGTTTGATTCCCTGAATTTACCGTCACAAAGTTGATTGAGAGCGACTTTTTGTCGGTGGAATAAAATCACATTTGCTTGTATTTTTAAGAAGCCATACCATGACTAGTAGGACCACACATGAATTTGGAAGATTAGACCACTCTAAAGTTGAAGGATCATGTCTTTTCTACTATAGATAGAAAAGTAGAAAAATTAAAAATATCGTTTTTTCTTTTTGGATAGGAGTTTTATTCAAACGTGAGAAAAAGATTGCAAAACACAAACATCGATTATCAAGAAGAAAAACTTAATATTTGAAACAAATGGTGGATTTCATTACTACCAAGGCATCTAACTGTTAAAGAGGCTTATTCTCACTTGTTTAACTATGATTCAGGTGTTTTGGAGGAAAATTGTTTGATCTCACCGGATTCAATCAAGGCAAAATTGTTTGAAAAGTTTTACAAGGTTGTCTCCTTACTGATGCAGTACTTCAGCAAACGGGAATTTTGATGATTTCTCGTTGATCTTTTTGTAATTCAACTGTTGTGTGTGTCTCTCTCTCACGTTTTTGGATTGTCCTTGGACTATGGATCTTTGGTCTTAGTTGTTGGAGCATTTTCGTTGTCCCTCTCTAATAGTAGAATCAGTGTGACAAGTTTGTTTTGGAAACCTTTCTTACAACTTTTTATGGTTCTACTAAAAAACTTTCGATTATAGCGGCTTGTACATTATATGGACCATTTGATTCCTTTAGAATCAAATTCAGTTTGAGGGCAAGTCCGCTCTCCTAGATTATGCCAAGTTATGGCTAGTGGCTTGATTTTGTGAGTTGGCTCTAGTGTGTTTCTCGAGATGTAGCTCATTCTCTTCTGCATTGCCTATTTTCTCATTATTGTGTATCTTGCCGCTTTATATTATGGCTCCGTCCTTATTTCAGTAATTTGGAAGTCGTTGATGGTTGGGTGGCTTAGGCTCAATATTGATGTGTCTTATGTCGATGGACGAGCTGGATTTGGTAGGATTTTTCGCTTATCAGAGGGTGGGGTGCTAGCTTGTGCATCAAACACAGAATTTGTAATCCCAGTTGCTGCAAAATCTTACTTTCATTGAGGTTGTGCGTATAGCTTGGGTAAGAGATTGGAAGCATTTATGGATTGAAACAGATTCCATGTATCTTTTCGAGGCTCCAAATGCGGTCTTTTGATTTATTATGGTAGATTGGAAGAATTGTTTATAACAACTTCATCGAATACGATTTATTTGTACACATATTTATTGAGAATGAAATCAAGTTGCAGATGATTTAGCTTCATTTGGAGCAGATAGTTATGCTTATTATTGGTGGTCTACGGTTCCGGATTTTGCAGCCTATGTTCATGCTCTTAACACTATGTTTTTGTCTTTATTACCATTTCGTTGATCATTTTGTCTTTCTGGGTCTTGACCTAGTTCTCCTCCCACCCCACGTTTGTATCTTTTTCATTTACTTTCTTATATTATTAGTAAAATTGGTGGAGGAGGGATGGGCGGAGAATTTTTGGATGTAATGGGCGATCATCGTCGAAGAGTTTTTTTTTTTTTTTTTTTTTTTTAAATCATTGTCGAAGAGTTAACTTTGCATAATCTTTCTCCATTTAACATAAAAATTAAATTAAAATGTCATCATTTAACATTAGCTTTTGCTTTATGATATTAACATGATATCAATAAAATGAATGACGTATTGACGGCACCTCGAGTACCCTATATCAAAAGTTAACGAGCTAATATATAAAATTGACGAAATGAGGCAATACAAAACACAAAGTAAAAGTCTATGGAGTGATTGAAAAAACAGGATGTAAAGTGATACTTAAAATATGGTTTAGCAGTTATTTTGATAAGCCTATAAATAAAACATCACTCCCCAAAAGGATATATTGCCATTCTATGTTATGTCACTAACTTGTTTACTCAAGTCATAAACTATAAGGCAACAATTCTCGAACTTATAATTTACGTTATCACAAATATTTACAGTTTTACGTAAGCGTTGCATGCTAAATTAAATCGGGAGTATCAAAATCACTAGTGACATATAATTGAGGAGTACTCTTTCCCATACGATAGGAGCCACAAATAATGTGGTTGGAGGAAATGTTCCATTTTTATATACAACAAGGACAGATCGCATGTGCTTGTCTTCAACCACATTTTTGTTTCCATGTATTTTAACTACATTAGGGTTATGAGCACTGACGAATCGAAACTATATATGGAACTTCATATATAAAAAACATTACTAAATTCGGATGTGGTTGGTTCTTGTTCCCCATACTTTTGCAATTTGCTTTGTATTTGTTGGATACAGTGGGATTGTACCAAGTATTATTGCTCTCCACAATTCCCCTACTAAAAGTTTGCCCATAATGCCATAACTCACCGAGTGAGAGATACAACTGCAAACGTTTAAAACACAACGACAATAGTACTTGATTTCTTCATGCCTTTTCTATTTTGGATTGTTGAAAAAGTATGCATCAAAGATGCTTAACCATTATGGTTGTCGTCTACCA